ACGCGTGATGAATCACCGTCAGGGTATTCTTTAAAAAAAGAATGACCACTTGTGTCTGGGTGAACTTCATGAGAAAAAGAAAGAGAGAGGGGGGGCGGAGAGAGAGAGAGAGAGAGAGAGAGAGAGAGAGAGAGAGAGAGAGAGAGGGGGAGAGAGAGAGAGAGAGGGCGATAGAGGGGTGGAGAAGGGGAGAAAGGGAGAATGACTTCTTCTGTATTAATGATGTTCTGAGAGAAAAAATGACCTCTTTGTCAAAAATTAAGTTCTGGAATTTAGAGAGAAAGAACGACCTCTTCTGTCTTTTTTTTTTCAAACGTAGGTGTCTTTTCGCTCCTATCGACACAGTTTTGATCATTTAGGAGGCGGGCTTCCGACACTGCTTGTAAGGATCAGCCCGTATTGAAAGGGATACAGCATGTCAACAGAAAGACTGAGAAACTTGAAATAAAATTCCCCCAACTCGGGAGTCGAACTCGGGTCTCCTGTGTGCGAGAACAAAGTACCTAAATGCTATTCCATATACGCGGGTTTTTCTGTGATAGTTAAGGGGGAGGGATAGCCACAGTATTAAGAGCAATTTCCCTTACTGCTAGACCCCAGGGACTGTTGATTACTAGTACATCATTTATTAATGACGATTGATGCCTGGCAAGTAACGATGAACAAATCTGATACTGTTTATTCAAAATGGCTGCCGTCAGGTCAGCAGCAGCCATCTTGAATATATAGTCATCACGAGAAAATGTATCTCCTCTGAATTATAAGAGCAGATTATGTTTGATTTTTGCTTACAGACATAATATATTGTGTTTCATTTGTTAAAATCGTGTTCCGTTTCGGGAGGGTATAATTATATTCAAAATACGAGGCATTATTTGACTTTTAAAAGTAGTTATTTTGGTTAAAAAGGGGAGGGGGGATTGTTTCGTTTGTTTACATTTCGAGGTAAATCTAAACTGAACAAGATGTCCCAGAACCCAGAGAATGCGATGCTAGAAGCTCTGTTGCCCATGACCCTACTAAGATTTAATTTAATCCTCAAGTAAGATCAGAGGATAAACAAAAATGTTGGGAGTCATAATGTGTTTTTTTTAAGGAAACGTAATTTTCTTTTGATTTCTCTGATCCTTTGAAAAGATTTTTAAAAAGACCAGAAAGCACGGTGTATGATTTCCTACATCAGTATCTGTGTATCTAATCGAGCGGAGAGATGTTACACTTTCTTTTTAAAAAGGAGAGAGATAAAGGGACAGAGGGGAAAATGACAGAAAAGGAAAGGAGGGGGGGGGGG